GCTCTCGGGTCCCGCCCACGAGCCGCCCCGCCCCCCTAAGGCTCCGCCCATCCCCAGCACGGTCCCAGCCCAGGCCCTGCCCCGAGCATGTTGTCTCCGCCAATCACAACTCCGCTTCGGCTCAAAGCCCCGCCCCAGGCCCCGCCCTCCCCACCTCCCTCAGGCTCAAGCTCCGCCCACAACGCGTTGTCCCTGGCAACCCCGATTCCTCGGCTCGGGCTGGCCAGGCGGCGGCGCTCAGTCCTGCCGGCTGACTCCGCCCTCTTGGCGCCTCCAAATAACAGCGTCTTTCCGCGCGCGGTCCTAGGCCCCTTGCCGTCTCCCTAAAACCTTCCCGGGAACCCCATCCCAGCCTCCAAATTCCCGTATTACGCTGACTGTTCCCAAACCTCTCCCTGGAACCCCAGACCCCCGAGGTTAGGTTCCCCAAATGTCGTCCCTCGGGCGCCTTCTCTGCCTGCCTGTCCACGCCGAACGCCCGCGGTCAGCCAGCGAGGCCCACGGACGGGTGACGAGGACCCCGGCGGGACACAGGGAGGCCTGTGTCTGCCAGTGAAGAGCGCACGGCTTCACCCGAGGCTGCTCTCCCGGAGTCTCGGGCGTCTCTGGAACCTCCCAGACCCAGGGGAAGCCTGATCCAAGGCGTTGATCCGGGTCCGAGGAGCTGGAGTTGGAGTGGGTGAAAATCTGGGTACCAAGGGCCGCCCCTCAAGGGAAAGTGAGAAATGTGCCCGGGGTGGCCAAAGGGTGTTTTTGGAATAATGACCAAGGTTCCCTACCCCCACCCACAGGGTATGACAGAAAAGATCAACTCTGGGCCTTTTAGTTCCCAATTCCCAGCCCCAGGGGCCACTCAGAGTGAAAGCAGTGGATTGGGAGGGCCGGGTGTGCCCACTCCTAGTCCCCATAAAGATCCTCTGGGCTGGAAAGGAGGCTCCCAAAGAGTTTAGATGCCGCTGGGTTTCTGAGAAGAGTCCACACTCCCGCCCCACTCTCAGGCCAATCCTAGAGATGTTTGGGGATTGGAAAACAGAGGAGACCTGTGTATCCCCATTCCCAGGTGTAGCCAGAGACAAGTCCCTGCCAGGAACATGACTATTAGAAGTGTGGGGGCTGTGGGGTGACAGAGGGCCAAGCTTTAAGAGCTGTGCCCAGCCCGAGGGAGGCAGGATTGCTGTCCCCAGGAGGCAGGTTGAGCAGCCAGGCATGGGGACCTGGACTGGCTTCCCCGTGGGGCTATGGGTCTTTGGCTTGTCACCACTCCCCCCCCCCCCCCCCCCCCGTCCAGTATGGCAGCAAGAGGCTGAGAGGCAGGTGTGCACAGGGGACCTCAGGCTGTCCCTGCTGGGTTGAGGTCAGCTTGTGGGCTGTGAAAGCTTCAGGGTCTGGGATGAATTTGGAGGGAAGATGCAGCTTCAAGAAGGAGGGTGTGGACTTCCTGCATGCTGGCAGGTAAGCTAGGGGAAAAAAAGTAACATGACCATCTTTAGTACCCAGAGTTTGGGTCCTTGAGGGCAGGTCCAAGTCCTGAACAGCTCTGGGTTACAGACTGAGGCCCCACATGAGGTAGGCACAGAACAGCATCAGGGTACAATTGTCAGTGTGAACCTGTCTAGCTAGGGATAAGCAGAGGAGTACACAGTAATATTCTCTGGCATATCAGGCAATACCTGTGACCTCTGGCTCAACATGACCATGGGTCACCCTCCACATTTCTGTCCTCAGACCAGCCCCTGTCCCCAACTGGGATGAACCAACAGTCTCTCCTCCCCCTGGGTGCCAACCCCACTGCTGTCACATCGCCACCTCATTTGATGATCCCAGCTGTCCAGCGATAGGTGGGGGAACACAGGCTGCACACCAAGGCTCCAGGTCCCAGGGCTGCAGGTCCTTTTACTGGGCAGGCAGCACTGCTAACCACCAGCAGAGGGCGCTGCCTGGAAGCACGTGGCCGACCACCTGGTCCTTCACTGGGAAGGTCTAGACTAACCTCTCCAATATGGTAGCCACCGGCCACATGTGGCTATCACTTGAAACACTTGTCCACAACTTGGCCACTAGTGGCTAGCACTTGAAACGTGGCTACTCCAAACGGAGATGTGCTGTGTGTGTGTGAAATATACACCAGATTTCATATTTAATTTTAAAAAAGGAATGTAAAAAAGTCATTGATATTTTTATATTGATAGGTAATCAATTTAAAATGTATTTACCTGTGAAAGTGAGAATATTTTGAACATGCTGGGTTATATAAAATATATTAATTAAAATTAATTTCACCTGTTTCTTTTTAACGTGGCTACTAGAAAATGTTGAATTTCCTATGTGGCTCATGTTGTCCCATTGGATAGCACGAGTACGGACAATGATTCTCAAAGTATGGCCCCTGCGCCAGCAGTACGAGCACCGCCCAGGAACATTTTAAAACTGCAAGTTCTCAGTCCCACCCAGACTTCACTGAGTCAAAGATGCTGAGAGATAGGACCCAGCAAGCTGTCTTTTAAGCAGCCCCACAGGTGATTCTGTGCAAGTTTGAAAACCACCAGTGAGGCTCAGAAAGGTTAAATGACTGCCCCAAGGTCACACAGCAAGGACTATAAGCCAGTCTCTGGACTTCTTGAACCTCCCAGTCGAACATGTGCAAGGTGTAAACACAGGGATGCCTTGGAGGTTGCCCACTAGCTCACTTGGCTTCATCTGTTGGGGTTGTTGGGGACAAAGGGCCCTTCCTGTTGTTGGGGCAGAAGGAGGGCCACCCAGGGCCCTGATCCAGCTGGGGCTTGCCAGGACACAGGTGAACAAGGAACAAGCAAGGCTCAGTCAGGGGCCTGGAGTGCTGTCACCTCAAGCTGATGTCTTGTACACACCCTGGACACTGAGCCATATCTGGGCCATCCCTGCAGCATTGGGCCCTGAGGGTCCTGAACAAAGCTGTGTGACATTGGACAGCAGTAACCTCTCTCTAGGAATCTGACCCAGGCTAGATTAGAGGGGGTGTGGGCAGAGGCTGGTAGGAAAGAGGGGGCGCCTTAGCCCAGACCTGCCCCCATCCACAGAAGCCCTGGAGGACTCTCAGGCAGGATGGAAGTCCCCGAGGACAGAGTCACTTGTGAACACTTCCTTGGCAGCAGTCATGGATGCTGGAGTGAAAGCCCTAGACAGAGAGCCAGCTCTGCCCTCCCTGAACTTGTGTCCCAGTGTGGGTGGGGGTGGGGGTTGGAATTCAGTGCCCTGAGGCAGCACAGCAGGATGGCCCACAGCTGGGTCTCCAGAGCAGGACTGCCTGGGCTCAAATAAAAATATTGGCTATGTGACATTTGCCAAGTAACAACCTCCCTGGGCCTCAGCTTCCACATCTGTAAAACTGGGGGGATTGGGTGGGGGGGTTAATTGTAACACCTGACTCATCTCATTAATAAGAGGATTAAATGAGCGAATAACATGTAAAACTTTCAGGACAGGGCCGGCATGCAGTAAGTGCTCACAACCACCCCATCGTCACTGGTTAAGGAACAGTGAATCTGTGGTCAACCTAATTCTCTGGAGCCAGGTCTCAGCCCAAGCCTTGTTTAGGGCCTGAGGGGTGATGGGGTGGGGCACTGGGGAGGGAGGGAGAGACCCTGCCAGAGGACTCAGTGCCCAGAGGAGTGGAGGTACCTGGGACCTCGCCCAGAGTGCTCTCTGCCAACACCACCCCCCGCTCCCTGGGCAAAGCAGCTGCAGGGGCCGGGTGAGCAGGGACTTGGTGTTGCCATGGTCAGAGGGCCTCAAGCACCACCGCACCTTCCCAGGGCTCTAGTCTCAGCTCAGCCCCACCTGGTGACAGGCCTGTGACACTCAGCCTCCCTGGGCTTGTGTCCCATCTGCACAGTGAGTTTGGCCTGGACAGTTACCAAGGGCCCTCCTAGCTCCTCACACTTCAGCAGTTCCCTGCATGCTAGGAAGATGCCCACTCGACCACCCCTGGGCAGCTGGAGGCCCAAGAGCAGCAGGCAGATGGCAGCAGAGCCACCTGCCAGGCAGCAGGGGCCCCTGGAGGTCTCTGTCAGCTGCTTCCCAGCCAGGCTGGCAGCCCACGCCAGGCAGGGGCCCTGGTGCGCTCTGGTCACCATATCTTTCTGCGGGCACAGGAGCACTTGAGATGGGGTACGGTGGCAGGAAGGGCTCTAGAGCTAGGCTGCTTGAGTTCAACTTTGGCTTCTCCCCTACCTGGATGAGTGCCCCCAATGAAGATATTTAACCTGCGTACCTCAGTTTCCCCATCTGTAAAAGGGGGAAAAGAAGAGGACTGTCCTGAGGTTGAATGGCTTAACACATGCTGTGCTGTTCTTACACCGGGCCCGGCACACAGGCCATACTCAATGGCAGGGCTCAACAGGGCCAGGCAACCCTCAAGAGCCTGGGTCCCTCACCTGCCCCACTTAGGACAGAGGTATGAAGTATCCAAGAGGAGAAGCTGAAAGCTTCCTGCTGAAGGCTGGTACTCCACACAGCTTCTGTGAGCAGCGGGAGGCCCACCAGCCTTCTGCCTGCACTATTTTCCCTACCAGGCATGCCACTCTCGTGCCACCTCAGTACCTGAGAGCCCCCACACATAGGTTGGGTTGGGGTGCCTCACCCAGACCTCTCCCACCCCTTGACATGGGCCATGCCTGGTGACTCACCTGCTTATCCATCAGAGGCTGGGCTGTTGTACTTAACTCTTCCCCATAGTCCTGAGACCTCTGGGGCCAGGGACCTCAGTGAGCAATAGACATTCATCTGGGGAGCAGGAGGGAGGCTGCAGGCCACCTCCCCACCCCAGCTCCCAGGCAGGCATGAGTCAGAGAG